CTTCGCAGCGCAGCTCGCTCCAATGAAGGGGCTTCCAAAAATCAGTTCCTCAAGCGCTGACCCCGCAAACCGTGTGCAGGTGAGATCTTCATCAACACCGAGCTCTACTACCTGGCTGCCTGAAGGTCTTCAAATCCTGGAGGCCACGAAGTAGATTCCAAGACGTGAGCCTAACAACCACTGATAACCTGGTGACTCTTCTACGCTTGCCCAGTGCCCTTTTCCAAACAGCTTCAATGAACAGAGGTTGAGGGATTGTTCTTGTCCTCTGCACTTCTCTTGGTGGTTCCAGCCATGAATCAACAAAGGCGTCCAGCGAGAGCCACGCCACCAAAACAGATCCGTAGGTAGGAAAGCCATTCCTTTCCTTGGATGCCAGTCATTCTTTGCAGGCGGAACCTTCGACATCGAGCTCTACGACTTGGTTGTCGGAAACCGATTCCCTGAGGCCAGAAAAACAATACGGGCCTACGATCAGCCGCAGAAACACAACTTCTTAGAAGCCAGCTTTTGTGAGCTTTGGTGGGACCACCGATGCCCATCTTGAAGCTTCCAATCAAGGCCCTTCACTAAGGTGATTTCAGCCCTAACAGAAATACATGTCAAAGCTCCACTCCAAAGTCCTCAACAGCATGTTTCCTGTTGCCTTGCCAGGCAGTGCTGGTCAGCCACCCGACTGCCGAGGACATCTGGGAATGTATGAATGGGAGTCAACGCCAAGCCCCTCACCCAAAATAGGATAGTCCTGCACAAGAAGGAATCGGGCTCTGCTGCCGACTGAAATACTTCTAGACTCTATGACTTACACTTCTAATCTCGATTATATGATCGAAAAAAGCGCTGCTGCGAATCGACGAAGGACTTGCTCCAGCTTTGGTGCATCGCTTTGATTGGTGGAGGCCTTGAATATATTTTTGGGCCAGCGCCACCAAACCACACCTAGTGAGGATAGCTGTAAAAGCACTGGAGTTGACCCATCTTCGACTCACAAGCCCAGTCACCCCCACCAAGATTCTTTGCCGCCTTTGCAGACCGTGCCACAGGTTTGAGGAAAGCTCAAAGCCAGTTGGAGGTTCGCCTGCCCAGCGCGTCGGGGAGCATGTCGAGTGGGTCTGTCAAGGGAGTGTCTTTGAAACCCAGTTGGCAAACCTGCACGCCAAAGCAAAATTGCTGCATCTTGCATGACCTGCGGCTCTCAGGTAAATCAGGTTCATTGGTGTTTGGTAGAAGGCTCGATCGTAAGTCTTAACTGATGGTGAAGGGAATTCCACTGATTGCTCGTCGAGCCAATGCCCGCATGCCGTACCGTGGGCGTGGCAAGGGGCACAGCAAGCCAACCACATGGAAGCAAAAGCAGCGGGTGTTCACTATGGCTGGCCTCAGAGCTCTTGGAGCACCATGGGCCAGGGTTCCAAATCCTCAGCTGTGAACTTTGCAGCCAACTCCCGGCTGTCTGTGGTTGGTTCATTGTTCAAATTCCAGTGGTTCACCCAAATTGCTAGTCCACCCACACAGTGACAGTTCCTTTTTGCGACCGTCCACAAAAAGAAAGAGATCAAAGAAAAGGGTTGCCTGAAAGGCTTCAAGACTAAAGAAAATTGTGTTTTCCATGCCACCCCAACAGTCGGGAAATAAAGGGTCGTCCGGAGTCATCCCTGTAGGTTGTGATGGCCCTGTGCAGCTTGATGTTCAACTGCGCCTCTCTCTCGTGGAACCAACCGACTGACTATGTGGAACTGTTCGCGGGCGATTGCGCAATCAGTCGTGGCGAATACAAGGACTTCAATCTGAGATTCTGAACTTCTATACGCCAAGAGTGGTCAAAATGCCAATGTTCCACTTGGATTGGCCTGCGAAAAAAAGACCCCCACAAGTCCGGCTTTCCCCTTCAAAACCCTGCATTTCAGGCAGGTCGAACCGGACTTGTGGGGGTCTTTTTTTGCAGGCCAATCCAAGTGGAAAATTGCACCGTCTGTATCAGTTTTGTGTCCTTTTGACCTTTCCTGGTATTTATAAACCATGATATGGCCAAGTGTTCGGGTTCCTGTGAAATGTCAACTCGCGCCCACTGAGGGAAGTAGAAATCAACATATTAGCTTCAGATTCCTGTGTACTTCTAAACAAAAGGAGAGTCCCGGATGTTTTCCCATGGTGGCCATTGTTTACGCCAGCACCAGTCCCAAGAGAGGTTGAGAGGACACTCTCTTGCCAATTCCGCGCCAGGAGTCTCGCAATGTGGTCCCCATGGATCTTCGCTTCGGCCCAGACCAGGACATCCTGAGCGATGCAGGATTCTCCAACATGTTGTATCAAGTCCTCAACCTCAAGCCTGGCGCAGCTCTTTGGGCTGCTCCAGTCTGCAGCACGTGGGTTTAGATGAGCTTTGGAGAAGTGGTCGATCTATTTTCCGTAAAACATGTTTCCGTGGCCCGAAAGATTAGGCTCAGTGTTGTCAAGTAGCTAAAAACTCAGAGTTTGGAAGGGCCAAACGATCTCAGGAGCAGAGGATCTACACAGAGGACTGCCAGCAATCCCATGGGGTCCAACATTGGAGTGACTGGCCTCCACAACATCATGGTAGGCCGAGTGGTCATTTTACTATGCCTGGCAATGGCCAAAAAGATCTGGTGGTGCTTGGAGCAGCCAAAAGGGTCTCTTTTAGAAGGCCACGAGCTATTTCAGCGCATGTTGGCCTTGCGACACTCTGCTGACGAGTGTCCTGCAGCTTGGGGCACTTTGGTGGGGAATCCCTGAAGCCAATCTGGGTCTACACCAGCCCCTCTTCTGGATGTGGAGTGCTTTCATGAAAGGTTTGAGGGGTTTAGACAACTGCAAGCAAAGCTTCCGGGGGCTTGCTAGACCACGACCGTCTTTAGCCCAGGTGAAGCCTATACAGGAGCTTTCAACGACTATGCTGATCGATCACTGCGCCCCACCAATTCCCAGATGGTCACCCACTATGTAGACTGCAATGGAAAGCAGAGAATCAAAGGTGGACCGGAGCTCAAGAAGAGCCAATCCTATCCTCGAAGGCTCTTTGGCATTTATGTTCATGTTCCCAGTGTGCTGTGAAACACCACGCGCCATCCTTGTCCCAGAACCCCAACCTCCTGCCCAGGTTCGGAATGGCTGTAGCCAGGGTCCATTCGCGCCACTTGAAGCGGCGAGTGGCAACGCGGCCCTAGATTTGAACAGCCGAGTGAGCAAGTTCTGGACCGACCATGCAAATCTTGAACCTATTTTTCATTTCCTGTCAAAGCAGGTGTAGAAGTCACCAAATGATGTGACCCTACACCGAAATTTGTTTGAGCTGTGGAATAGCCACACGGAACAGCTTCTAATTTGATGTTGCTGAGCTAGGATGATGGGGTGGTGAGAGCAACAAAGGTTACGTTTACATATTCTCTCAAGTTCTTTGGGTAACAAACCTGGGAAACGAGAGGTAACCGTGACACAACGCCAAACCCGCCCTCCAAACCCATGGCAGGTGATCAATGGGAAGACTGGTATGGAAAAGGGCGGCCTCTCAACAAGGCCAGGACTGCTGATTGGGTCATGTGGGAGGCCACATCAAAGGATTCTAGATCAGCAATTAGAATTTTACATGAAAACCAACATTTCTACAAAATCATGAACTTTATCGGCATTTTCGCTAGTGCGATTTGGCGAGACATTCATGCGACCTGTAGCGACCTCTTGCGACCTGTAGACCAGCTCGCTTTTGAGATGGAATCTGCTGTTACTGTGCTCTGGGATCCCTTTTTGTGCTCAAAGTGCCCATCGTTTCGTTCTTGCTGCTGCCACACTGTGCGGCTTGGGATGGCAAAAGCTGCCCAAGCGAAGACGGCCAAAGGCAAGAGAGCGGCAGATTTGCCCCAGGTGCGCAAGTCAGCCTTGAAGAAGCCAGGGGCACGAAGTTCAGGCCATAGAGTCACGATCGACCCTGGCAAAAGCTGGTTGGATAGGAAGTCCAAGGGCACCTTGAAGAAAGGCGAGGCTGAGCAGATCCAATCAGAAGTGTTCAAGCGAGCTCGCGAAGCAGCAAAGGCCGCCAAAGGGGTCAGGTTGCCAGGGGGAAAGGAGTCTGACGACGGCCCGAAGGGGAAGAGCGACCAGAAGGAGAAGGGTGAGCAGAAGGAGAAGAGGGCCCACAAAAAGATTGAAAAGAAAGAGAAACGCAGTAAGAAGGAGAAGAGCAAGAAGGAGGAGGAGAGCCAGAAGAAGAAGAA